TCGTTTTTTGAGACCAGGGTTTCACTATGCAGGTGAGACTGACCTGGAACTCACTATGTAGCCCAGTCTGGTCTTGAACTCACAGCGATCCTCCTGCCTCAGCCTCGTGAGTGCTGGGATTACAGGCCTGTGCCACCAAGCCCGGCTTCAGGTTGGCTTTGAACTTACTACATAGCCCAAGTTGGGCTCGAACACATGGTGATGCTCCTGACTCAGCCTCCCATGTGCTGGATTTACAGGTGTGCACCACCACACCCAACCCTAGAATTTTTTAAGTCCTTTGAAAAATTCTGAGGGTTTCAATTATACACACAGTCATAATATTAGACCCTACTAATGAATCCAAGAAAAGGCAGCAGTTATGCTGACAGTGTGATCTTTTCTGAAGGACCCAAATTCCAGAAGACATTTCATTAATAAAGAGACAATTCTGTGGAATTATGAGCAGAAATGATTTAAAAATGTTGTGATTCCCCCTTTCCTATGCAATATCACTCCTGGGGGGTTTCTGGTATTCCTACAGTTTAAATCACAAAGTTTTTCACAAATTAATTTTTAAAAAATTGCCAGCATGGTGGTACATGCTTGTAGTCCCAGCACTCAGGAGGCTGAGGCAGGAGGATTGCTGTAAGTTCGAGGCCAGCCTGCGCTACATAGTGTGTTCAAGACGAGCCTGAACTACATGGAGGAACCCCATCTCAAAAAAACAGATCAAACCAAACCAAAATCTTATCAGCTTAGCTCAGTGGTAGAGCACCTGTCCAATGTATGCATGCCCTGGCCACCCTAGGTTTGATCCGGCACACACACACATTTAAGAGTGACATTTGGTAAATGTCTCAGAGTTATGTTTACTTTGAGTTTTATTCTATCTGATAAGTGGATCCATAACTCACCTGTTTCTATGGGATAAAGGACAAGCAAATATGTGGTTAGTACTTGGTTATGTGCTGGCTTTGGACTGGCTGAGTTTTTGAACTGAGCAAACAGTAATTTACTTGGTGCATCAGCCATAACTAGAAAAACCACCTCCAAGTGTCTCTGTTGAGAAAGATGTTTACTGAACAGAATGAACATGGAGGAAGTTGTGTGGGTCAGAGCGGAGTGATCCATCTAGGCCCTGGGGGCAAATGTGCCTCTGTGCCACGTCAGTGCGTCAGATTTCCCTTCAGAGTGGCGCCTCAGCCCCCGGGGTGCAGCAGGAGGAGCAGGAGTGGGAGGCCAGCCTGGACTTCACACTGAGGTTGTCTCAAAAACCAAAAACCAATCAACCAAACCAAACAAAAAACCAGCGTGACCTGTCTGCCTGAGAGCTGGCTGAAGTACTGCCACGTATCACTCCTCAGTGCAAAAAAGGTTCAGAGGACAGAGTCCCTCCCCGTCCTCTTATTTGGTGCCGCTGTCTGGGATCAAACCCAGAGCCTCAGGAACATTAAGTACATGTTCTACCACTGAGCTACATGCCCAGCCCCAAACTTTATTTTTTATATTTTTATGTATTAATTTTTTTGTCTGTTTTTTAGACAAGGTCTCACTGTGTAGTTCAAGCTGGCCTTGAACTCACTACATAGGCCACCCTGGCCTCGAACTCTCTGCCTCAGCCTCTGCTGGATTACAGGTATATACCACTCTACCTGGCAAAATTTTAAAAATAAATTATAAAGGGCATTCAGTGAAAAATCCCTTTCATACTGTTGGGCCACAGCCATTCACTTTCCCTTCCCATAGGCCCAGTTTGATGGTTGGTTTCTCATGTATCTATTCAGAGATATTTCTGTATATACAAGCAAAACACAGATCATATCACCTTTTCTTAAAATCAAAATAGCAGGACGTTAGCTCAGTGGCACCGGCGCCTGCCTCACAAGCAGGTCCTGAGTTCAATCCCTGATACCAAAAAACAAACAAACAAACAAATGCCAGCTGGATGTGGTGACACAGGTTTGTAATCCCAGGAGGCTGAGGCAGGAGGACTGCCATGAGTTTGAAGCCAGCCTGAAGTACACAGTGATATCCTGTCTCAAAAAAATAAATAAATAAAAAAGAAATAGTATGTTGTAATGCTATTTTGCACACTGCTTTTTTTCTTTCTGGTACTAGGGTTCAAACTCAGGACCTTGCACTTGTAAATCCCTAGCCCATGCACACTGCTTTCTTTGTAATTGCTGTAGGTAGAAATAAGACTTGGAAGATAAATTTAACTAAAATAAAACCATACACATACACACACACACAAACACAGGGTTTGACCCAGCAATTCCACTTCTAAGAGTTGATCCAAAAGATACAGGGGCAAAAAATATAAGTTATTTCCAGGTGCAGTGGCACACACCTATAATCAGGCCACTAAGGAAGCTGAGGCAGGAGGCTCACAAGTTGGAGACCATCCTGGATAACCTAGAGACTGTGTCTCAAAACAAGATAAAAAGCATAGGAGATACAGTTCAGTGGTAGTATAAAAAGCATAGGAGATACAGCACAGTGGTAGAGGAGGCTGAGGCAGGAGGATCACTGTGAGTTCGAGACCAGCCTGGGCTATATAGTGAGTTCCAGGTCAGGGACAACTACATAATGAGACCCTGTCTCAAAAAATACAAAAAACAACAACAACAAAAAAACACTAACAAAATCTGATGGGCCAAGGTGCAGGGCCCAGCTGTGGGGACATAAGCTGCACAGCTGTCCTGATGTGGCCCCAACCCTGCCACCTAGTAGCAGCAGGATCCCCGGCTCCAGACACTCAAGGACACACCTGGTCTCTGGCATGGGAACCTGGGCAGGGGAGAGTAGAGAATGTGTTTAAAAAGCACTATTGACATCACCCTACAGGGTTTGAGTCCCTTTTCACAAATGTATGACATGTGTCACAGCATAAAATCTCAGAGAAAATACACGGGCTCCTGCAAGATTGGAAGAGTATGGACATGGGTGGGGGGCATCACAGGCCTGGGTATCCTTGTGCCTGTCAGTCAGTCCACACCACCTTGCTTTCACCCTCCAGCTCCACCTGCTCTGAGTCCCTCTTCTTGGTGGCATTCTTTGTGTCCCGCTGCTGGTGTAGGCAGTGCAGGATGACGTTTGTCTTTCTGCCACAATGCTCAGTTCTGACAGGTATTCTGGGTAGGCAGGAAGACAGAGGAGCATAGGTTCATAGCTCTGCACACAGTCAGCATGGGACTTAACTAAAACCGCTTTTACTGCAGACAGGCATCTTTTTCGAGGTAGGCGGCGATGCCACTGAACTAAATCCCCAGCCCGGTAAATTTTATCTCAATAAAGCTGATATTGCTGGGCATGGTGTTGCATGCCTGTAATCCCAGCATTCTGGGAGGCTGTGGCAGAGGATCACAGGTTCAACCCCTGTCTCAAAAAAACAAAACAAAAACAAAAGCAAAAACAAAAAGAAAAGAGAAGAGACAAGACGAGACTAGGGATGTAGCTCAGTGCAAAGAGAAGGTCCTGGGCTCAATTCCTAGCACTCCCCTCGAAAAAACAGTTGTTATTAAAAAATGTTTAAAGCCATAAAAGTAGCTCACCTTGAATAACCCTTGACATGGAAAGTTTCTAGTTTCAGTCCATTACTCAAGGTGTGAAGAAGCTGAGATAAATATTTAATGTTCAACAGGATTGGTTGCTAGGTCTGTTGCTGATTTGCTGCAGGGACTTGTATGTGCTCAGGGAGAACTCAGCTGAAAGTCAGGAAACCTACTCCCACAGGCTAAGTTGTAGCAACAGGAATTTGTGTCACATAATTGAGGCACAGGGATCCAAACAATGTCAGCAGAGCTTTGGTTCTCCTGGTTGTTTCCCCCGATGGCTTCATACTCAGCTGGCTCTATGTGGGAGGAAAGGACACCATCAGCAGTCCTGGGATTATGTGGCCTTCAAGATCTAGAAGACATACAAGAGAGATATGTCTTGACAGTTCTGAGATCCGGGCTGGCTCAGTCTCATCCTGAGCCAGGGAGCAAAGTTAGTTATGAGCAAGTCTGATAGCTGAAAACTACACTTAGAAAGGCTCCCCAAGGCAGAAAGGCTGGGAATACAAAATACTGTTTATGTTTATGATGCAGGTGAGGCTGTAGAGCTTGCAGAGATACCAACATCATTTGAGCCCAATAAATATCTGCTGAATCAATACAGGAACACATAAACCAGAGCTGCTGCAGAGTGCTTTTAAAGCATCATGTTCCAAACCCTGATTCTGTATTTTAGAGAAGCAATAAAACATGACTGAAGTCAGATACCAAGGTCATTAGTGAGATGCCGTTTTAGCAGCAAGCTACTTCAATCAAGTATAGATTTACTCTGTGTCCCGGATCCTACCTATACTACACCAAAGTGATACAGTGCTCTGAGAGGCACTTTTTTCCCCCCAGATTTAGCCACCAGAAAAGCTAAGGCTTGTACAGTGTGAAGGAAGGGGCAGTTCAAAATGAAAGATGCTGCTACCTACTAGCAAGCTTTCTAAAAACTTTTCCTTCTCATTCAAACTGGTGATAGTCCGGTGGGTTTCTGATCCAGGATCCAAATGCCTGTTTCCGGAGTGTACTCCAGGCCTCCTGGTAAGTAGAGGCAGCCTTTTTATATTCCTGGTAGGTGTGTAGCTTCTGTACCCTAAAGAAAACACAAAGTTTCTCAATGAACTTATTTTTGGGGCCCCATAAAACACCCAAGCAAGCAATTGGACAGGTCACAGCAAAAGATCAGGAAGTAAAGGATTTCAGTGTGCTTTCCTAGAGCAACTCTGTTTCCTTTGTAGGGAACTTACAGAATACAACATGGTTAAACTGGTAAGAATGAAGAGATGCTAGTTTTGTAAGGTCCTGATAGAATCAGAAAAAACAAAAATAACTACATTTTTGGTTTAAAGTTTTCTAGTGGTCTATAATTTCTACTACAGCATCTAGAGATTAGAAATTTTCATTGCGTTTTCTTAACAAACACCTTTCCACCATATCTGTATTCTTGTCCTCTATACTGCAAGCCAACACCCTCCCCAAACCCTTAGCCATCTGGCTACCCAGGATGGCTGACACACTGAGGAATATTTATAATACATCCAGTGAAAAGATTGCCTTCAGAAAAGACTCTTTCCATACTGAATTGGAGTCCTCTAATTCCAGTTACACCAAGAATTCTGCTAAGTCTGTTTAGCAAAAACAAAACAAAAAAACCCCTCCAACTTTGGTATTTGATTTTTGTCAATACTGGATCAAATTCTTCACCCTCACCCTTGATATCTCATCCCCCGGGCCTGCCTTCAGCATGAATCTTACCAGTCCAGCCTTGTTCTGCTTAGTGCCTTTCTACCTACTATACTGACCCCAACCTTGTTCCTCAGCTCTCTGCAAGTCTCTTCTTGACCTTGTGCTTGCAGCTGAGCCTATGAAGATCTACTTTCTCTCATGGTCCATAGTTCTCCCGCAACAAGGCAGGACACAGACTCTCTCACGGTTCCCACTGCCTGCAAGCAGGGCCACGGGGACAAGACGGCATGTGCCCAGTAATGAGTGCCCACTGGCTCAATGAGCCACCACTCTTGCCAAGGCTCACACACCAGATCTCAAACAAGTCTTCCTAATATGAAAGAACATAGGTCAACAGTGTCACCTGAGGGAGTCTGGCCACTTGTCTTCTGCAATGCTGCTTAGCAGCTTCTGGAATGATCTGAAGAGTTCCACTTTGCTGATTCGGGACCTGGTGAGAAAAAGAAGGCAAAAATGACTGATGAAGTGTTACCATGTATCAGGCCCTAGCAAAGATACAAGGCTTCATATTATGTCTGTGTCTGAATGTGCCTGAAACCCTGTCTCTCTGCACTTGACAAGAGAAAAGATCTAGACCTGGAGGTGTGTGATCAGGTTGAGGTATAAAAAAAGAATCTATGGTATGATAGTGCACACCTGTAATCCCAGCAGCACTCAGGAGCCTGAGGCAGATGGACTACGTGAATTTGAGGACAGCCTGAGAGACACAGTGAGTTCAAGGCAAGCCTGAAGTACTTATGCAGAACCTGTCTCAAAAAACAAAAACAAAAACAAAAAACCCCAAACCAAACAAACAAAAACTCTTAAGAAATGTTATTAGCGGGCTGGGGATTTAGCTCAGTGGTTCAGTGGCCTGGCTTGCAAGCACAAGGACCCAAGTTCAATCCCTGGTACTGAAAAAAAAAAAATGTCATTAGCAGTAGAATCAGTAAAGTGACAGAATCAAATGGGGTATAGTGATATATTACTAAACTTTGCCCCAGGATATCTGTAAGACACACCTGCCTACCTTTCCTTTTGGTGGGGATTGAACTTGGTCCTTGCACTTGCAAGTCAGGCACTGGAAGCACTGAGCCAAATCCTAGCCACCACCCACCCTTTTTGTGCCAGGGATTGAACTCGGGACCTTGCACTTGTGAGGCAGGCTGCAGCACCACTGAGCTAAGTCCCTAGCCCTGGCTACCTTCTTTTATTAGGGGATGTTGTGGATTGAACCCAAAGCCTCAGGCTAAGCACTTGCTGTACCCGTGAGCTACAGCCCCAGTCCACAGAGAATTTTTTTCTGTTTTTGAGACAAGGTCTTTATTGGTGGGGGTACTGGGGAGTGAACTCAAGACCTTGCACTTGAGGCAAGTGGTGGCACCAGAGCTAAATCCCTAGCCCAAGACAGAGTCTTGCTATGCTGCTCAGTAGTTTCAAAGGAGCTGGCCCCTGTGGGTGAAATGGTTTACAAGTAATGGGAAGCTTTGTTTCAGAGATGTGAGTGCTGTCCCCTGTGTAAACTGTAGTTCTCAGGTCTACCTGGACAGGGGCCCCTGTGCAAGTCTCCAGGTTCCCTTTATAGGCATTCTGAGTCTTTAGAGGCCCAGGCTCTTGTCCTAGGCAACAAACTTCGGGGTGGACGTCAGGGGTCAGAACACTTAAGGACTCTCTTAGTTTCTGCCTCTCTTGAAGCCAGATGTGCCTGGGCTGTCTGTGCTGCCTTTTCCCTCATATACAATACATGAGATACATCTAGAAATGGGAGATACTGTGTGTCCCAACAAAATGCAGTCTCTTCACACACTATGCCCTGTGTCAGGCTGGCCAATCGCACCCTCAGCTTGGACACAGAGGTCATGAGTGGTTTATGTAAGAGAGTCTGCCAAAGCTCCTGGCAGGCAGCAGCTGACTGCAGGAATAACTGCTCACAGGAGACCCTGAGCACTCACTTTCACTGAGGGTCTTCCTCAGCCTTAACTGCTGAGTGGCTGCCTGCACTCAGGGACATAAAGCTGGTTCAACATGAAGATAAAACGAAAACTAAGGGAACTCCCCTTAACAGATTATAGGAGAAAACTAACACGAGGAACACTCATGAAGAAAAGGCATCTGTTGAATTCAAAATCCATTTAGTGATTCAAAACCTTTTAGCAAGCCAAGTCTAGTAAAGATATTACTTGAATTCATAAGGTGTATATATTAAAGTCCCATAGAAAATGTATGTCTTTAAAATCAGGACTAACACAGGGGCCTAATACTATCTATTACTGCTTGGAGGGGGGCAGCATGGGGGACTGAACCCAGAATCTCTGCACTCAGTTATATCCCTGGCCTTTTTTATTTTGAGACAGGGTCTTGCTAAGTCAGTAAGTTGCCCAGGCTGGGCTTGAACTTCTGTGATTCTCCGTCTCAGCCTCCCAGAGTGCTGGGATTACAGGCATGAGCCATCACACCTGGATATCACTGCTTTTTAACATTACGTAGAAGGTTCTGGCTAGTGAGACATAGCAAAGTAAGTAATAGTGATTGGGTTGGGGTGAAAGTGGTAGTGTGCGTGCTTCGCATGTATGAGGCTCTGGATTTGATCTCCAGCACAAAAAAGGAAAAAGAAAATTGAAAAACTAGAATCAAGTCATTATTTGCAGAGGATCAAATATTATATTTGTTAGTCCTAGTCAGCTCAGTAAGATATGAAAAGGAAATAAAAGGAAAAGGAATGAAAGATTAAAAAGAAAGAAAAGCTATTTTTAGGACATTGTCTGCATTAGAAAATTCCAAACGATGGGCTGAGAACTTAGCTGAGTGTTAGAATACTTGCCTAACATGTATAAGGCCCTGGTATTGAAAAAAAAAGTGTGTGTGTGTGTGTGTGTGTGTGTGTGTGTGTGTGTAGGGAATTTCAAAAGAATTACCACACAAAGCTGGGTGTGGTGGCACATGCCTGTAATCCCAGCACTCAGGAAGCTGAGGCAGGATGATCGCCATGAGTTCAAGGATAGCCTGAACTGTACAGTGAGACCCTATCTCAAAAACAAAACAAAACAAACAAAAATAT